ATGATGTCTGTTGTCTTGCTTTGCACCTCCTCCACATCAAACCTTCCCCTTCCCATCAGGCCTTCTGGATAAGAGACTAGCTCTTTGCTTATCTGAGAGACTTGACTTCTGGTCCCAGTTCTGAGCTTGTATTGACTGAGAAAGCAGCAGAGGGCTTAGCCCCATCTGGCTCTTATCCTCCTACTGTTGTTCTCATGCTGAGTTCTTCCTACCTTGCAGGCTTTGTGCAGTTCCTTCAGTACTACTATCAGAGTGGCTGCCTGTATCGGCTCCGAGCACTCGGGGAGAGACATAACATGGATCTCACTGTGGGTAAGTTGAGTTTCTAGTCCGTCCCCCTTTCCCCTCTCCACAAACTGTTGTAGCCAAATCAAACTGACCCCTAATGGCAGGAAGCTGCAGTCTAATATCAGACTGGCTCAAAGCAGCCCAGGTGCCTTTGAAGAGCATGATGTTCAAAGCAGGTAGCCTTTTGACTTCAGTTCCTCTCACCTGATCCTGATCTTTGTGGTAATGGGGAAGGTCTGTTCTTTCCTCAGTCTCAGAGCAATAACTTGGGCCTTGCAGAAACAGGGTTGGGTAATCCCTGTCCTGGAATCAGCTCTAGGTGGCTCACTGCTGGGAATGGTTGTGGTGATGCATGGACAGGAAGCCACCGGCAGCCCTCTGGGGGAGGCGTTGTAGTGCATGGAAAGGAGCATGGGTTGGTTCATTTCACAGGAATAGTCTATGTTGCACTGTGTTCAAGTTCCAAATAGTAGTAGTAAAGCTGTAAGGAACTCAGCCCCTATGTTCCATTGAATTGCAAGGATGCCATGTAAGCCCTGTTCATTGTCCTTTCCCTGCAGAGGGCTTCCAGTCCTGGATGTGGAGGGGTCTCACTTTCTTGCTTCCATTCCTTTTCTTTGGGCATGTGAGTATGTGTGCCCCACTCCATATGGCAGGGTGTCTCCCTATTAGCAAAGACAGAGCTCAGCTGGGAATACAACTCATGTTTCCTTTTAGCCCACTCATGTGCTTAGCTGGAAACAGGAGATGGGGAAGTGGTTGATTCATGACAGAGCACCACAGCAGCATGGCTTTTTGTTTTTTAACAAGGGGCAAAACTAACACTCGCTCCTGCTTCAGCTTTGACAGTAGGACTTTGGGTCCAAGGTCATGTTGCCTTTCAGAAGCCTCATTGACATGGGTCCCTAAATCACCTCTGAAAATGGAACTTAGCTAGAGGTGCTTCTAGAAACCTAAAATCTCATCTGTATTCTTCCTAGTAAAATTCCTTTGTGACTGATGGGAGAAATGCAAATAATCAGGTTCATGCCAAGTTCCTGAGACCAGTTGGCCCAAGAAGAGGATTATTATTATTTTTTTTTTTAATCCCAAATTCCATGACAGGGGTTTCTTTCTGATTAGGGCCTCTGAAAATCCCAACTGTAACCTTCTCCTTGCCCTGTAAGGTTGGCATCCATAGCTGACTGAGCTGGACAGGTGTTTATGTAACAGGATTTGGGCCTGATGAAGCTGGGCTGTTACATGTCAGTGCTGGGTTGGCTGTACCCTCATCTTCACAAAAGCAGAAATGCCTGTTAATGACCCTGCTGTGTCTCCTGCAGTTTTGGCAGCTTTACAATGCAATCACCCTCTTCCGCCTGGCCAGATACCCAGAATGCAAGGAATGGCAGGTGAGCTAAGGGAATGGAAGGGGTGGGAAGTGGGGTGGGTTTCCAACTTCATTCTTTGGAACATCTGATGCCTTGGAGACCTCACCTGCTTCACCTTCTTTCAAATGCCCGGTTGCATAAGATTACCAGGCAGGGCATAAACAGTAGTGAGCTTGTGGTGGGTGCAGCAGCTTTGCTGGTCCTAAGGCCCAGGTGATGCTGTGACTTCTCAGCTGTGGCTCTTGCCTGCTGGTCTAATTGCTCCATCTCACGGTTAGCCCCAGGTAGCTTTGCTTCATCCTTTCACTTTCAGGGGTGTTGACAAAAAAGCCTAGATGTACTGGGAGACAGGTCTGGGGTCTCAAAGGCAGACATAGCAGCTGAATGGAGCCTTTGGTCTCTGGAACAGCTGTGGGATGTGCCACTGTGGCAGCTTCTCTGACTTGATGGGCTTTCACTTGAGCCTTTTTAGCTTGGAAGGACATTGCCACTTGCTCTTATTGGACTAATTCTTCTAATCTATTCCTGCCTAATTTTGCCCTTTGATCCTGCAGGTTCTCATGTGTGGGCTCCCTTTCCTGATCCTCTTCCTAGGGAATTTCTCCACCACCCTGAGAGTTGTCCACCAGAAATTCCAGAATCAGAATAAAGAGCCTAAGAGGAAGTAGGAGATTCAGACACCGAGCCACACTCTCACCATTCTGCTGCCTCCTTGCCACATTCTAGTTGTTGCCATCCAGACTCACCTCTTGCCCCACTCCTCAGAGGCTTGCAGCTCAGTGTTGAGCAGCTGGGCCTCTGAACCAAACCTCAGATGAATGTAGAGTTATGAAAACCAAACCGCTGAAGTTTTAATGGACTGAACTGTGGTGCAGCGCTCACTCCCCTTCCAGTCAAAGATGTGGCTCCCTTGTCCAGAGCCAGCATTGCTTGCTGAGACACTAAACTGGGAGCTGGAGGATCAGACACCTTGTTCATTGTCCCACATTTCCCCCTGTTGACAGTTAGTGCATCTCCATCCTCTGCTGCTTCAGAAATGCAGTGTGGAATGGAGGGCCCTTAATCCAGCCCATCAGGCTCACCTCTGCTGGCTGAGATGTTGATATGACCACTCTGCAGGGTGCTCAAACCAAGCTCCTTCCCATAGTTACCCAGATAACTCCAGCCTTTGCCTCTTTTCAAGTAGCCACAGAACTGAACTCCTCAGCAGAAGTTGGGGGATGCCTCTTTTTGGCCATCTCTTACAGTGCAGTATTCTCACTCCTGGCTTCTGCCCTGAACACTTTAAAGAGCTGTTGAGCTCATCTGGGGGGCCACCTCCAGCCTTGAACCTGCCTGTAGTATCCCATTCCAACTCCATGGTGTCTACCCTAGTAGAAAAGCCTACAGAGACACCTTAAGAAAACACCCCAGCTCTGCCTTGAGTAACTTTCTCCTTTCCTTGGCATGAGGCAGCTTGCATGGAACCAGGGTCCCTGTCAATCTGCTGCTGAGCTCCCCAGTTGAGACATTCTTCCGTCCATGGGAGATCGAGTGATGGAGGAAGCTAGAGCTGCTTTGTGGATGGAGCAGGAGCCCACAGAGCATAGGTGCATTTTTGGCAACATCTCAGTTTGGCAGTGGGAGACCATTGCTAGGGGAGCATTAAAGCTTTTCCTCCAGTGGTGTCAGCTGGCCTTCATCCTCTGTAGAAGAAAGGCCACTGCTAAACCATTCTGGCAGCATCAAGAAGCCTTAAGAGTTCTGGATCCCAGGATGATACAGGAAGTGGTGCATTCCCTGCCATCCCATAAGTCCAGAGGGCAACAGGAGCAGAGAGGAAGGAGTTGATGCCAAAACCATAAAGGGATAAAATGTGTGCGTGTTTGTGTTGTGTAGATGGTTCTAGATAATAGCTGGATTTTGTTATGAGCTTGGCTGCCATATTAGTCATGGCAGAGGATGGACAAAGCTCCAGTCCCTTGGGGCTGGACTCCCAAACCTACATTGGAGCCACTGTCCTCTCATCCGCATCCTATTGAAATGAAGTCCTTTTAGATTTTTGTGAAGATGTGTCCTGGAGTGTATTTGTCAATACCTGTATTAGAAACATGTCTCCTTTTTATAGGAAGTTATCCAAAATAAAGGAAGGGGAAGATGCCTTCAAATGACAACTCTCTTTTGAGTCACCCTTTAATTTAACCTCAACATACAGTTCAGCACTGGCTAAGCCTGGCAGCATGAAAGCAGGGCAGGGGATGCTTTTAAGGAAAGGAAGAGTCCTTCTAAGCTTACTGACCTCATAAGTTTCTAGTGCCTGGGGCCAGACGCTGCATTTGCGCCACAACAAATTCCTGTGCTACTGTAGAAGGGTGATGGGGGGAGAAAAGGAGGTGACTACACTGCTCCCCCTCTAGCAAGGTGCTTAGAGTTATGCTGTTCTATAGCTGGGGAAGTAGAACTACAGCATCTGAGGCTTGTGAGCCAGCTGCAAGTAGTTTGTCCTCTCCTCTCTAAGGGACAAAGACTTCCCCTCTTCCAATAGTCTGTGCAGCCCTGGCTTGAAGAAGGAAGCAAGCAGGATCAGGGGGAGCAGTTTTTAGTGATGGTGCAAGTTCCTCAGAGCTCTGTTGTACTCCGATGCATTCCCTCTCCAGATGCCAGGCTCTGGTGTGGTTGAAGAGTAGTCTGAAAGAGGCAATGAATTCTTGCTTGCTGTACCCTTGCAGCTGGCACGAGTGCTGTACTTGGAAAGGGAAATAGTTTTCATTCCTTTTCCTCTAGTATCCTCAAACAGAAGTAAAAGTTTCTGGCTACTTCACCACATTTTGTCATTGTTTTGAAGATATTGAATCCACTCGCCCTGTCAATATTCTTCTCCATGAACATGGATTTCTTCTACCCGTTGACTCCAGCTGTGCATTCACCCAAAGCTCTTAATGCCGTGAGTTTCCCTGACACCTTTCAACCATTAAACAGTCTGTTTTCCCCCCCATCAGCTATCCACCAAAAGTTTGGTGGGTGCTCCAGTGAAGGAGAGGCCTGGGGTCAGCAAAGGAGGCAAGACTCCCAAAATGATAGCAGTCTTAAAAATGGTCTGAGGCCACATTTCAGACAGGCCTGCAGCTTAGTGGGGTTTTATTCACAGTGGCGTGCTCCAGTATTGCTTGAAAAGCAGTTTTGTTTTGGAGTTCTTTGCCTTTTTTTTTAGCGTTTAAAAAATGAGTCAGTAATACGACTGACAGCTACTGAGGGAGAAACTCATCCCCAAGGGTGGGTTTTGGAGATTATGACTTTAAAACTCTTTAGACAAAAGCTGTTTTCAATGCTCCCATAATTCTGACTGCCCCTAGCACAAGCAACAGGAGCCTGAAAGGTTAGTTCAGTGCCCCTAGGGCGAGCCCACATTGGCTCCTGTGGGAACCACATTGCTGCTATACTCTGTCCGCTGCTGATTTCTCCATTTTACAGGGGGGGAAGTTGGGTCACAGGAAAGTTGGTGCAGAGCAGGGACTTCAGCCTGGTTCCTAGTCAATACCTCTTACAGGTCAATTTAAAATCCATCGTTGTGAGGAAGCCGTGCTCTATACCTGTTTTCCCCTCGGAGTCGTAAAGGACGAGGGCATCTATCTCCCCATCCCAGGGAGGCAAACGTTGCTGACCGGCAGCCTGTCAAAGCTCTTGCCCCTTTCCCTTTCTTGTTTGTTTTTTCCCCTCACTGAAATGAAGCAAAGGAAGCTGGTGTGAGGAGGCAAAATAAACTGTTTTATTCTGAGGGCAAAAGTACTTTTAAAATTATTTACATTCATGGGACAGCCTCTAATACAGCTTGGTGCAGAATGAAGTCTCATACGGACACGGACATACAAAAAAACCACCCCCTGTGACCACACATTGCAAACCGGGCGCGTGGGGTGGTAGCTCACAACTGCACTGGAGGAGCGTGGCTCTTCCAGGCAGCTGCTGAGAATGAAGCACCTGCTCCTCAGGGGGCTTCTGCCATTTTCCCTCCTGCCACAATGTAACCATGGCAACAAGTTTTAATGGGCAGAGGTGGAGCAGCAGCAGCGTCCCTGACCTGCGCGCAGTGGGCAGAGGAGCCTCAAGGCCCAAGAGCTGGTTGTGCTCTGTCCTTGGGGGCGGTGACCTCAACCAGCTGCTGCCAGCACTCCCTCCCCCCCATCCTCCAGGGACTGTCCGCGAGTGGAGGGGGGGGGCGCATGCTGTCTGAATTCACTGAGGGCGTATAACCACACTGGCACTGGAGGGCAGGCATACCTGAGTTAGCTCAGATGCAATAACCAGTTTAGCCTCAGCAACCCAGTGCAGGCTCCTCTGCCCCGCTCCTGGGCAAGGCGAGTTGGTGCACGCAGCCCTGCTGCTGGTACTGAGGCTACCTCTGGTGTGTCTACAAGACACTTGGCCAATGGGAGTGAGCAAGTCCTGGCTCTACAGCACCACAGTAGCCAATTTTACTGTTAAGACACCTAGAACCAGTGGTTTTCAAATGGGGGAAGGGGAAATGCCCTCTGAGAGTTTTGTCCTACCTATACCAGCACAGAGAGAAAACATTATTGACAGCCTCACACCTCGGACAGCATAAGTAGGGCCTGAGCCTCAGGGTGTTAGCTGGGAGCCAAGAGCAAAATTCATCCCCAGAATCAGAGGTGCAGAGAGCAAGTGACAGCAATGGGCCACTTACAACTGTCTGCACAATCAGTGTGACCAGGGAGCGTGGTCAGCTTACACAAGAACTGTTTCATCCTTGCCAAGCTTGCTCAGCTACTACCACGCCTGCACAGGCCAGGGTAAGACCCTGCAAGCACAAGGACTTACAGCCAGCTAGCTCCTGGCTTGGGTTAAGGCCACAGTCGAATTTCAGAGGGTGCTGACTCAGCTTTGGCAGGCTGGTGCCAGCACTCTGTCAAGGCAGCCGCAAGCAGAGCCCAAGCAGACTGCCCAGTCACAGTGACAGTGGCAGCACCACGACCCTGTTTGTTAAGCTACTGAACAGCAAGATAAGAGCAGTGCTTTGCGCATGACACGTAGTGCAGGGCCCTGGGGCAGACTGAGCACAGAATATCCAGCCTCACTGCCCTAGAAACACCCACGGTTTGGCAGGGCTGACTGAGACACGAGTCTGCCTATCCTCTAAGCCTCTAGCAGTGGAGGTTTGTACTGAAGGGGCTCAAGTGAGCTGTACAGCGGAGCACCCAGCTAGGCTCCATACTGGCTAAATGTAGACACCAAAAGGGAATTTGAGCTTTTGATCTATGCCCTACTTATTGCCAAATATTGCTACTGGGTCTGTTAAAAACCTCAGAACCTCCAGGGTCTGGGTCTGATCTGCCCATGAGGCAGAAAATGGGGCTATATCAAAGCCAGGGAGCACATGTCCACTTGCTCCAGACTAGCACAAAGGAAATGGTTCAACATAAAGGCTGCTCACAGGGAGAGGGCTGTCTGGGCCTGAAGGCAGAGGGCTTGGTCATTAGAAGTGAGGCGGACAGGTGCAGAAAGGGACCCCTCAGCCAGGTCACTTCCTACCAGAGCAGGAAAAAAACAACTCTGGCAGAGGATGAGGGCGAATGCCCTAGCAAGAGGTTCACAACTCTGGACATGATGCCCTGGGACAGGTGCATCTGCCCTCCTCTGACAAGCTCGCCTTGCCATGCACCACATGCTCTAAACACCAAAACAGGGACTGAAACAGTTAAGAGCTCCTTCTGAGTCTCTAGACAAGCCTATCCATCCCTATTAGAGGTGTCTCCCTAAAAAAAAACCCAAAGGAGTTCCAGCAGCTACAACCACCCCACCCCACCCCTTCCAGGGGTCTACTGTAAACAGTCTAGTGCAGAGAAGGCAGAGAATTAGAAAGGGACAATTATTGGGGAGTAGTTAGTTATTCTTTAGTTTAGTTCTGTTCACATGCTCTTGCAATGGCTGGGGCAGGTGCCCTTTGCATCCTGTCTGGCAGTCACCTGGGAATCCTTCCCCTCCCTCACCTAGTCAGCCCAGCCCTAGCTCCAGACGTCCATGGAGTACCGGCCCTTGGTCATCAGCTTCTTTACATAGTCCACGGCTTGAGGCTGGCTCATGTTCCCATACTCAGCCACGATCTCGTAGAACGTGTTTTGCACATCTCGAGCCATGTTGCGAGCGTCACTGGAACAACAGAAGCATGGGGAGGACATGAGGGAGGGATGGCACTGCATGTCCTGACACCCACCCTGGCTGGCTGACAACCAGCTTGGCATCCCAGCTGAGAAGTTTGCAATCTCAGGGATATGATGTCCTGCAAGAGCCAACAGCTGGACAGACAGTATGAAGTGACCACATCTCCTATATCTGGTGCTACCCCATATGCTGCACATCCCCACGTTTGTGGATGAAGGTAGCTTAGTTTGGACCCCAGATACAGCCAGGCAGCAGGAGGGCATCCCTGAACTCCAGCTAGTAAATGTAGTCAGACAATGGAAAGAG